CTTAGAGAAATGAGATGTTAAGAGACAGGTATTTAAGCTCTATTCTGCTTAGCTATGTTGTAATCTTTCCTGTCCTAAAGCGTTACACATTTCTCCCGCTGACATTTCTTATTAAGCTTGTCTGAATTATTTTCCAAGGTTCTGTTTCTCTTTTGTTAAAAGGTTATAAAGATCCATATCATAATTAGTTATGGCTGTGGTCCATGAAAGCTATTAATTTTGTGTGTTGATTTTTATATGTGGTCCCCTTGATGAACTCCTATTTGATTATAATAACCTTTTGGTTCCTGTGGATTTTTTTAGGTAGATGGTTATATCGACTGCAAATATTTACAGCTTTGTCTTTTTCTATTCAGTGTTGAAGTTCTGATTTCCTTGTCTGTCTCCCTGGGCAAGCCTTCAGTACAATATTAAAAAGGAATAGTGATTATGAATACTTTTGCTTTGATTTCTATTTAATGAGCATTAACTATGAAATATGCTGTGGGTCTATGATAGAAAAACATTATCAAATCAAGTTTGTCTGTTTGTTTTGATCAGAAATGGGAATTAGATTTTGTCAAATTTCAGCATCCAGTTCAGGTCATTTGTTGAGATGATTTTATCTTAGTGAGAGACATGGCTTGTTTCCTAATTTTGAAACAAATCTTACATTCTGCTCCCAATACACTGCTATTTTTGATTTTCTATACTTTGTGTAGAATTTTTGTACACATACTCACAAATAATATTGGGTTATTGTTTTATTGTTTGTTTGCAGTACTGGGAATTAAATCCAGGGGTGTATCCCTAGCCCTTTATATTTTTATTTTAAGACAGAGTCTCCTAAGTTGCCAAGGCTGGACTTGAACTTGAGATCCTCCTGCCTCAGCCTCCTGAGTTGCTGGGATTAAAGGCACAAAAGATCATGCCTGGTGTGACTTATGTTATTTTTTCCTCTTTCATCTGTGCTTCTCTTGTCTAGTTTTGGTATAAGGTCATGCTGGCCACACAAGATGACAAGGTAGTTTTCAGATTCTTCTAGGCCCTGGGACAGTATACTGCATGGAATTATGGATTTCTTGAGTATTTGGTAGAACTTGACCATTAACTTTCCCACCTTACTCCTCTTTTAGAGGGGTTTGGATAGGTTGATTTTTTTAAAATCAGTATTGCAATCTCATCTGTGATTATTTAGTATCCCATACTTTCCTTCTTTTTGAAGAAGCTTTTTGTGATTTATTGTTTCCCAGAAGATTATCCAATTTACCTAGATTTTCAAATGTTTTGGTTTAAATTAACAATACTTTCTCTTTAATATAAAATATGTTTTGTCTACTCTGTGTCTTTTCTCAGTATTAACACTATTTGTTGTGTCAGTTCTCAGTCTTGCCACAGACTATTTTAGTTTATTGATATTTTCAAAGAACCAGATTTTAGTTTGTTAGGATCTAAGGTTTTTTTTTCTAGTTTTTAATTTTTGCAATTTATTCATATTAATATTTTTCTTTACTTACATTAGGCTTATTTAGTTTTTCTATTTCTAACTTCTTTTTTTTTAAAGAGAGAGAGAGAGAGAGAGAGAGAGAGAGAGAGAGAGAGAGAATTTTTAACATTTATTTTTTAGTTTTCGGCGGACACAACATCCCTGTTTGTATGTGGTGCTGAGGATCGAACCCGGGCCGCATGCATGCCAGGCGAGCGCGCTACCACTTGAGCCACATTCCCCAGCCCCTATTTCTAATTTCTTACATTTAAAAAATCTTACTTTTTTTATTTTTATTTTTTCCCTTTTTCCTGTGTAGTAAATTTAAAACTGTAAATTTTCCTGAGTCTGGTATATATCTCAGGCTTTGATATATGGTTTATTCTTGTCATTCATTTCTAAATGGAAATATTATTTTCTCTTTGTTAATCTAAGAGCTATCTAAAAGGTATTTAACATTTTCGGTTGATCAATCTTTTTTAAACTCTTCTTTTGTTATTAATGTCTGTATTCCAATCCAAATGGTAACCTGACTGACATTTTTCTTAGGGGATTTGCTGAAATTACCTTTGGAGCCTAATACGTGCATAGTTTCTTTGACTGTTTCATGTATAACTGAAAACAATGTTATTCAGATGCTCTCTATCTTTACCCAATCTATAGCTACTTGATCTAGAGATTTCTCGGTGACAAAGTATGTCACCATGATTGTAGCACTTTCTCCTGGTATATCTTTAAGCTTTTGCTGTATATATATTGAAGCTATGTTATTACATGCATAAAACTTCATGACTGAGATATCCTTCTTTACAGTATTACATCTTATCAAGATGAATAACCTTTCCCCTTCAGCCCATTCATTGCTCTTTGTCTTACGAACTGTTTTGCTTGATATGATCATATCTCTGCCTACTCTGTGTTTATTAGGATTTTCCTGGCATAGCTATTGCCATTATTTTATTTTTAACCTCCTTATGTCATTTTGCTTTAGGTATATCTTACCAGCAGCGTTTAACTGGATTTGAGTTTATAAATCTAAGAGTTTCTGTCAATCAATGGGGATTTAAAATCACTCACTTTTATTGAGATGACTGATATCATTGGACTTAATCCTGTCATTTGCTGTGCATTTGTTTATCATAAATTCTTATTTTCCCCCTTATCTCTCCTATTTTTGTTGAATGATTTTTCATTTCATATTTTCTTCTCTAATAACTTGAAGTCATTCAACCTATTTTCTGTTTCCATTCCAATAAATCCACTGCAATAGACTGATGCATTTTAAGAGAAATATGGTTATCTAGAGTCAATCCCTTTCCAGATCCTTCCAGTGAGAAATGCTAACACTTTTACTTCTTGCTTTCTCTTGCTACTCGTTCTTCTCTCCACCTGAACACTTACCATGCTCTTATGACCTAAGACCTCAGTTACAAAATATTCATGATTTTGCTTTAATAGTAAATTGAATTTCAGCTAGTAAACTTTCTTAATCTCTCTGACTCCCTCGTTTAATGTGGCTTCTTGGGCCCCAGGTTTTCCTGTCTGGTTTCCTTTTTCATTTCATATTGTTCCATTCTGTCTAAGAATTCTTTCTTCCATGATTGAAAATATTTTAATTTTCCCTACTTATGATGTAAAGATAATTATCATGGGCATCAAATTCTAGGTTAAAATAAATTTTTTCATGACTTTGAGATGATTATTGTTCTGTTGCCTGTTGCATTCAATGGTACCAGGAAGGATTTGGATGTCCCTGGATTCTCATTCTCTACAAGGGGCTACAGACTGACTTGTGTCCCCTGAAAATCGACACATGAAGCCCTAACTCCCAGTGTGATAGTATCTGATAATGGGACCTTTGGAGATAGTTAGGAATGGAATTAGAACTCTTGTAAGAAGAGACACTCGAGGTCTCTCTCTCTCTCTCTCTCTCTCTCTCTCTCCTCTCTCTTGTATCATGTGGGAACACAACAAGAAGGTGGCAGCCTGCAAGTCCGGAAGAAGCCCTCACAAGAACCATGCTGGTACTTTGATCTAAGGCTTCCAATCTCCAGAATATAAACGTCTGTTGCTTACACTGCCCAGTCTATAGTATTTTGTTAAGGTGGCCTAAGATGACCAGTGAGCAAGGCATTAGTTATCTGTTGGGGGAATGTTTTCTTCTTCCTTATAAATTTTTCCACATAGTGGGTCTCTTCTAAATTTATCTTGCTCGGCAGTTGATGGACCCTTCAGTCTGTGGACTTTCATCTTCTTCCCCTCTGGGGAGTTCCCTCCTCCTCTTATTTAAGGATTTCTTCTCTATCTCACTGTTCCCTCTTTTGGGATTTTGGTGCTGTTGGATTCATTCTCCATCTCTTTATATTTTTCTTATCTTCCAGGTATGCTTCTTTTTGTGCTGTTTCTGGGCAAAGTCCTTCTGATTTAGTAATTTTCTCTTTAGTTTTTACCTATTCTGATATTCAGCCCATATTTTGAAGTTTTTTAAAATTTCAGCACTCAAATTTTTGATTTCTAAGACTTTTAGTGGATCATTTGGTATATAGGCCATATCCCCTCACATGAGAATACTAATTGGACCTTTCTAGAAAAGTCTTTTCTATTTGTTCTATGATTTTTTTCCTATGAGTTTTGAGTTCTTCAGTTTGTTAAATTTAGTTCTTTGTCATAAATTTTGCTCCTTGGATTGTTAAGTGGACTATTTCTCTTTAGTACCCAACTGCAAAGTTTCCCCAATAAGAAAGCCTCTTTTCCTCTCTGGAAGCTGAGACAAGATGATGCATTCAGTGTCCCTTCCCAGTCTTATCTTTTACAAAACTGATTTATTTAAGAAAAACAACCAACTGTGATGAAGAAGAGGCAGACACCCCTCCTGTGGGTTTTTTCACTTAGAGATTGGGAGGGGACACTGAGAAAGTTGGGATTCAAGCAGGGCTGCGCTGGAGGTAGTTACCCCTGATTTAAGTTTTCTCCTTCTTTTTTTATTTTGCAGGGGGTGGTGGTGGTGGGGGGGGGTTCTGCAGATTGAACTCAGGGGCACTCGACCACTGAGCCACATCTGCAGCCCTATTTTGTATTTTATTTAGAGACAGGGCCTCACTGAGTTGCTTAGCACCTTGCTTTTGCTGAGGCTGGCTTTGAACTGGCGATCTTCCTGCCTCAACCTCCCGAGCCCATGGATTACAGGCATGTGCCACTGCACCCAGCAAGTTTCCTCCTTTCTTTCTATTGCTTGAGTGAACTCCAAATGCACTCTGGCTCCGGCTTCTCTAGGATCCCTCCCTTGTATCTTCCACCTGCAGAGAGTGGCCTCCAGGTTTGAATTTGTCTCTATTTTTTTTTTCTTTTGTCTCTAGTTTAACCTTTCCACCCTCCTCCTATGTTTGTGACATGATTTGTTGGGTAGATGTTTGTCCTTGAACTTTGCTCTGGATGTAAGCAGATATGAGGTCAAGAGTAGCTTGAAATAAATTTGCTCTCTTGGGTTCCTGCCATCACTATATAAGAGAAGTGTGTCCTGGATACACCTCTGGCCCAAGAAGGGCTGGGGGAAACCCAGAGCAGACCCAAGGCCAGAGGCAAACTCAGCTGGGCCCAGTTGAGATCAGCAGGTCTGCTCCAGCCAACTCACATGTGCCTGAGTGAGGATAAGTGAATGCTGTAAGTCACCAGGTATTGGGGTCATTTGTTATGTGACATTATTATGGCAATAGCTGATTGATACATTTGTCTTATTGAGCCCAGGCCAGGGCACACTCCCTCTTCACCCAACACTCCACTGACTAAGGTCATGGTCTTAGTCATAACAGTAAGAATGTGAGTTGTTTCCAGTTAGTGAGGTTAGTGTTTTGCAGGGCCTGGGACAGGACTGTAGCAGAAGGCAGGATAAAGCAGGCAGCCAATCTTGCTGAATTGTGCTGTCTGATGACTCTGCAGACAGGAAGAGCAAGGACTGGAAAGATTTCTAGTAGGAGCCAGTGGCACAGGCCTGGGGCTGGCTTTCTGCCTTGAGCCTTCTTCTCTACTTTTCCCATGAGTCTTCCCATCAGGACACAGGGGCCAGTAATGCCTCCCTGAGCCTGAAATATAGTCTGACCCATGGCTTCTGAGTATATCAGACTAGGACAGCAGAGAACTGCTGTTCTGATAGCAGAAATTATACCTTCCGAAAGGACAATGTAGACATTGAGAATCAAATCTTATCAAAATATCCTGATTTGCATATTGAGGAAGTCAAGGGGGAAGCTCCTTTGTCTTCCTTCTTACCCAGTTGAAAAAAAAGTGATTTTAAAGGAGGCTTTACTGCAATCATGTTTCTATTGCTTAAGTGAATTCCAAATGCTACTGTAAATTCCATTCATTATTTAAACAGCTTCAGCTCCTTTGAGAGCCTAAGTGCCTTACAGGAAGGAAGGAGCTACCAGTCATGCAGGCTGGGGAGGGGCTCCTGCTCCCCTAGGCAGAGGGACAGGGTCTGTGGTGTTTATAAAGAATCTGTAGGATAGTGGGCCAAGAGCCCATTGAGTGGACCTGGGTCAATAGGGATAGGGCTGGGGGAATGTTTAAGATTATCTAGGATGTTTTCCTAACTTTCCAGGTCCTGAGAATCATCTGACACACTGGTTAAAAATAGATCTCCAGGCCCTCCCCTGCAGATGCTATTTTAGTAGATCTGGAGTAGGGTCCAAATATCCATGCTTTAAAGAAGGATCCCAGGTGATTCTGATAGACACATGTGGATAGTACTGAGAAAACTGAGGCCCAAGCAGGGGTCTTGCTCTCACAAAGCCCCAGTTAGTGCTGGAGCTAAATCCGGGACACTACCACGGAGACTCAAGTGGCATGGTTTGGAATGGCTGATTTCAATCACTGTGGGATTGGACAGCCTGGTCTGCAGATTTGTTGGTCTCTAGTCCTGCTTTGGGGGGCTCATTTTCTCTTTGGAAGAATAGGCATAGGCATTGCTCCTGAAGTCAGGTAGAACCAGGTTCAAATCCTGCCTTTGCTTTGAATTCACTGTATAATTTTGGGAAAAATGTTTATCTCTTTGGAGCTACTGATATCAGCACTAAATCAAATAATGTATCTTCACCTAAGGTGTGGTCAATAAATAAGTATTGATTATGAAGTGCCAGACCCCATTCTAAGCATGGGACAGAACAGTATGATGAACTCATTTAATAAATAAAATAATCCACTTTCTAATCCCTTTTAAAATTAAGGAAAGTGAAGAAGAAAAACAATTTCAATGATTGATTGAAAATCACGCATATAACAAGTGAGGGGTGGAGATAGATTTGAACTTGGGCTGCCTGTGGCTCCCTTTTTTTCATTTGAGGTCAGGGCTTGGGTCATTCTTATCCCACGTACTCTTGGTGCTACAGGCCCTTGCATACACAGAGACTTCAATAAATGCTTGATAAATGAAATAGAGATTTAAGGCAAACAACAACAACAAAAATGTACTTCTAGTGTGGCTGAGAATGAGGCATTGGCCTGGGACAGCTGGAGAGAGCCAGTAAGAAGCCCTGGGAAAAGAGGCCTATACCAAGGGAAGGAGGGCAGGGCCTCCAGAACCAGTCCCTGGGAGTTAAAGACAGAATTCAGGCCGAACAATTAGCACTGAAATGTGCAGGAGCCAGGAAACTTCCTTGCATTGTCGCCTGCAATAAAGAAAAATCCAGACTGAACTGGCTGCTTCGATTAGAAGTGATGTAACGAGTAGGCTTTGGCCTAGTTTTCTTAAAGCAGGCGGGTCCCCTGGCTCTTCCCACACCCTTTTCTAAATTGTCAAGTGACACTTACCGCCATCTAGTGGTCACAGCCACACTGCACAGGCGTGGGGAAAAAAGGTTCTGGATCATGGGGATTGGAAGATGGCTTTGGCTTCCCTTTCCCAAAAAGGTGAGTTCCCCGAAAGGGAATAATTCTGTTCAAAACATTCCCACAGTTTTCACTTCATTATATCTCAGCATTATAAGTCAGGATTTATTAGCTCCTTTTTATGGGTAGGACAAGTCCCTAAAGAGGAAGAGTCTTGCTCCAAAGTTGCATTATGGACTCTTGGTAGAGCTAAGACTAGGACCCTCGTGTTTACAAAACTGATTTATTTCTTTTTTTCTTTTATATTTTGGTGCTGTGGATTGATTCCAGGCCCATGTGCATGCAAAGCAAGCACTACACCAACTGAGCTATATCCTCAGCCCACGAAACTGATTTCTTGACCTAGAAGTAGCACAGAGAAGCTTTCAGCTCCCTAAGTCTCCTTGGACAAGGGATTTATCCTGGAGGTCTTGGGTGCCTGTCTATATGGAGGTGGGTCCCTTTCAGCTCACAAGGTTTGAGAGTTTTCTCTGGAATGAGACTCCTTAGGTGGGATACCTGGGCCATAAATGGTCATGTGAGGTGGGGGGTGGGTTGCAGAATATGAACACTGACTCTCAGCCCCAGACCCTCATAATCAATCATGAAATCAGACCCTACCACCGGACACTTAGTGAAAGCTTCTCTTTCCCTTAGATTAAAGATGGAGGAACAGGAATGACCAGCCATTCCCAGAAAAGAGGAATGACTCGGCTGATACCATACTGGGACAGACCATGGTTAGTCTTTCTTTCTCTCTTTCTTTCTTTTATTACTGTGTCTTTCTGTTGTATACACTCAGTTATAAGAACTGGTGGCTGGAGGCCATACTATTTCAGGTAAATATAACTGTTTTTGGCCAAGAGGGAAAATTGGATTCTAATATATTGCAAGTCACACCACAAAGTATGCAAATAAAGACCAGAGCCCCTGAATATTCATGTGTGTTTTAGCATCCGTAACAACGGTGGTTCTTAAACCTTTTAAGGAAATTTGAGGCAGAACTTGTTTTCATGGAAGAGATAAAAGCAATACAAATTGAGGAGGTTGACATTTGTTGCTGACATTTGTTGTGTCCCCCAGGCATGCCTGCAATGCTTGAGAGACAGGGAAACACGGATTGGAAACCAAGCCATTGTGCGGGAGCACTGGATGTGGAGTCCTAATACTTGGGCGTTGGGTCTTGTCTGGCAAGAGTTTACAGTGTGTCCTTGGAAGTCACTTTCTCATTTGGATCCTCTGCTACTTTCTTGTCATTCCTAAAAAAAATCTCAACCTTCCTCCTGCCCAGGGTTGTGGGGAAGATCAAATGGAGGGAGTAGGAGAATGGGTGAGAAAATGTTTTGTGGAAAGTAAAGTGTTATATTCATTAGTGATTCTTCTTTCACTAAGTCAGCATTAAATTATTATACAGTAGAAATGGAAGACTGAAACGTTCAATTCCATGAGTTTGGACTCATAATCAATCATGAAATCATTACCCCAAACAAGATAAAAAACATTCACATCATGTTCTCCTGGGATCCTTTCTGGTCAACCTTCCCACCCCTCTGTTCTGATTTCTATCACCTTAGCTTGGTGAGCTTTGCCTGTTCTAGAACGTTCCATCAACAGGATGTGCTCTTTTGTGCTTGGCTTCTTTTGCCTACCATAATGCTTTTGAGATTCATCCAGGTCGATTTTTCCTTTATTGCTGAATAGTATTTTATTGTATGGACATACCATTGTTTGTACATTTTCCTGTTAAAAAAATATTTGAGTGATTTTGGATATTTGGATATTTGGATTAAGGCTGCAAAGAGTATTCCAGTATATATTTTAAGTGCATTTATGAGCACATGTCTGTTGAAATAGGAATGGGATCCTGGAGCATATATAATAGATATATGTTTAACCTTATCAGAAACTGCCAGACAGGGATCCAAAATGCTTGTACCATTTTACATTCTCAGAGGCAATGTCAAGCATTCTATTTTGTCTGTAGAATTCATATTTTGTGTTGTCAACCTTTCTCATGATAGCCATTCTGGTGGGCATGAAATGGTATCTCAGTACAGTTTAAATTTGCATTGATGTTGAGATCCTGTCATGGTCTATTAACCACATGCATATCCTCCTTTTCAATGTGTCCTTTAAGTTATTTGCCCAATTTAAGAAACCTGGCTTATTGTGTTGATTTGGAGGAGTTCTTTACATGAAGACATCTTTGTCTTCTCTAAGATTGCAAATATTTTCTCCTGTGTTTTATTCTAGAAGTGTTATGGTTTTCACTTTTATGCTTAGGTCTATGATCTGTCTTCATTTATTTTTGTGTAGGAAAAGATGATGGGGTTGACATTTAAACATTTCCATATGGGAAATGGCCACTGTTTGTTAACAAAACAAAACTTTCCTTTTCCTTTTGAACTGATTTAATACCTTGGAAGATTAATTTTTACATTAAAATGCTTAAAAAGTAATTGAATTTAAAAATGATCATAGAGAGAGATGGTGACTATTTGGGGAATATAAAGTTTCATGAGTTTTAACTCATGTATAGATTTATGTAGCCACTGCCACAATCAGATATAGAACAGTTTGATTTCCACAAGAAACTCCCCATACTATCTACCTTTGCTAACAAACACACTCTCTAGATTACTGAAACTTTACAGCAACTTTTAAAATCAACTTTTAAAAACATACTCTAAATTTGTACATCATTTTATAAATCATTTTGGCTATTTTAATTAATTTCCATTTCTACATAAATTTAAGAGTCAGCTTGTCAATATCTTCAAAAAATTTGTCCTGTATTTTGATTGGATTTATGTCAGATATACAGATCATTTTGGGAAGCACTGACATCTTAACTCTGTTGAATTTTGTAATCCATGAACATGGTATATTTCTTCATTTATTTAACCTTTGATTTTGTTCATTATAATTTTGTAGTCTTCAGCATATAAATCCTTTATGTGTATTCATTTTCTGGAAGGTATTGTTACTGGGATTGTTTTAAAATGTTGTTTTCCACATGTATATTGATAATTTATAGAAATATGTTTTGTCTTGACCTTGTTTCCCGCAATCTTTCTTAATTTGCTAAATTTTAGAAGCTTTTAATATAATATTTGGTGTTTTCTTCATAGACAATCATGTCCTCTGAAAATAGGAACGGTTTTATTCTTTTCTAATCTGTGTTTTTTCATTTTTCTGTCTTGTTGCAAGGACTAGGACTTCCTGTGCAATATTGAAAAGAAGTAACAAGAGTGAGCTTCCAAGCTCTGTTTCTGATTTGACAGATAAAGTAGCCAATTTTCCCCATCAAGGAGATTGTTAGCTGTAGATTTTTTATAGATTCCCTTTGTCAAGTTGAAGGAGTTCCCCTCTATTTTGGGTTTACCAATTTTTTTTTCTTTTTTTTTTTTTTATCAAGAATTGGTGTTGAATTTTGTTAAATACTTTTTAATTGATATGACCACGTTTTGATTCTAAAAACTCAAATAATTCTTGTATTTCTGCTATAAACCTCATTTGGTTGTAATTTATATAGATATTGCTGGATTTGGTTGCTATAATTTTGTTGAGAAATTTTGTTTCTATAATTAAGAAGGCACTTAGTCTGTAGTCTTCTATTTGTGGATTTTTTTGTATGTTTCTGGTATCAAAGTAACACTGGATTCATAAAACAAGTGGAATGTTATTTTCACTTTGCCATTCTGGAAGGAATGATTTAGAATTTATATCACTTCTTCTTTAAATATTTTATAGAATTTTCTAGTGAAATCATTTGACCCCAAAATTTTGGCACAGATTCAAGTTCTTTAATATTTACAGTACTGTTTAGGTTATCTATTTCATCTTTAGTAAATTTTGATTGATTACAGATGTACGGGAATTGTTTGACATCATCTAAGTTTTTTGAGTTTACATGTATTGTTATGTTAGATTGGACTTATATTCAATCTAGCAGGGGGGGAAGGTCATTCTGAACTGGTTCTGTAGTATTTGAATTAGAAGTATTTCCTTACTACTTTTAATGGCCATAGAATCTGTAGTGATATCCTCCTTTTAACTCCTGATATTAATAATTTGGGTCTTTTCTGTTTTGTTTTTTTTTAATTTGTCAGTATTTCTAGGCATATCTAAATTTTTTGAGTAATTAAAAAATAATTGGCTTGTTTAATTTTTAATTACCTTTTTGTTTTCAATTTCCTCAATTCTGTGATATATATATATATATATATATATATATATATATATATATATATTTTTTTTTTTTTCCTTCTGGCTGCTTTGATTTAATTTTGATCATCCTTTTCTAGTTCCTTGTGGTGGGCTCTCAGACTACAAATTTGGGACTTTTATTCTTTACTAATGTAAGCATTGAATACTATAAATTTTCCCCTAAACACTGTTTTAGATGCATCCCACATATTTTTTTGTATTTTCCATTTTAATTCAGTTCAAACACTTTCTGATTTCTCTTGAGACTTATTTCTCTTTTACCCTCTGTTTCTACTAACCCTGAATACAGCAGATCCAGAAATCCTGAAGTGGGTACTATCATGAACAGCGAGCTCTAGGAGAAGCTTTATAATTCTGTCTCAAGAAACAAAAAGTGAAACTTCTACTCTTACAAATCAAGCATCATCAAAAAATTAGATTTTATTAACACCACCTGATTTTAAAAGTTGCTTTAAAGTTTCAGTATTCTAGAGAGTGTGATTGTTAGCAAAGGTAGACTCAAGGTAGCTGTGTCTCAGCACGGAGCCAAAGAGTGTGTTTGCAAGTCTGCATTATTTATAAGTGTGTTGTTTAATATGCCAGTGTTGGAAGATTCTCCTCTTCTCTTTTTACTGTTGATTTTCAGTTTAATTCTATTATAGTTTGAGAACATACTTTAAAAAATTTTTTGTATTTGTTCTTTTTAGTTGTACATGACAGTGGTATCTATTTTGACATATTTATACAAATATGGAATATATCTTAGTCTAATTAGGATCCTAGCCTTGTGGATGTACATAATGTTGAGATTCACTGTGGCATATTCATATATGAACATAGACAAGTTATCTCAGATTCATTCCACTGTCTTTTCTATTCCTTCCCCCTCCTTTCCTTTCATTTCCCTTTGTCAAATGCACTGAAGTTCTATTTTCCCCCACAATCACAATCAGAGAGAACATCCAAGCTTTGGGTTTTTAGGATTGGCTTATTTGACTTAGCATGATAGTCTCTAGATCCATTCATTTACCAGCAAATGTTATAAAGTCATTCTTCTTTATGGTAGAGTAATATTCCATTGTGTATATAAATCACATTTTCTTTATCCATTCATCTGTTGATGGACATCTAGGTTGATTCAATAGCTTAGCTTATGGTGAAGTGTGATGCTATAAACATTGATATGGCCATGTCACCGTAGAATGCTGATTTTTAACTCCTTTGAATATATACTGAGGAGTGGGAAAACTGGGTCATGAGAACATACTTTGTATAGTTTCAGTTATTTTTAAATTAGTTAACATTTGTAACCCAGGACCATGGCCCATATTGGTGAATATTTAATATGCACTTGAAAAAAATGTGTATATTGCTTTTGTTGGGAGAGAGTGTTTTATAAATGTTAATAAAATCTAATTTGTTGATGATGTTTGATTTGTAAGAGTAGAAGTTTCACTTTCTGTTTCTTGAGACAGAATTATAAAGCTTCTTCTAGAGCTCACTGTTCATGATACTACCCACTTCAGGATTTCTGGATCTGCTGGATTCAGGGTTAGTAGAAACAGAGAGTAAAAGGTAATTCATAACTGGTTCAATAGCACTTGAATTCTGATCTCAACTCATATCCACCTGTTATTATTTACTTTATAGATTCCTCAGGGTGATTCACATATTCTGAACAGGTTTTAAAATGGATTTTTTTCCTTTGGGCAACTCTCAGTTCTTGCGGGTGTGTATGGGGTGGACCTCAACTGCAGTCCTGTGAGCCCTGCCCTACCTATTTACTGTATTCTACCCAACGCTATAATAACTGGGTGAGGAACAGGCACGTGACTCAAGTCATTTCTGAGGCTTGTGTGGGTATCAGTGGGAACCAGAATCTCTTTTCACTGGGGTTATTTAGCCTATGTGATGGAATCACAGCTTGGGAAGTGTTTGCCTGAGAGTGAAAGGACATATTGAGGAAAATGAGCTAGACAAGGAGAGGAAGCCACCCTTAAGGGGCTCGCTGAGGCACCTCTGTCCACGTTCCTAAAGCTACTAGGAATCTCTCACATTCCATTTCAGGGACCTGAGCAAAGTAAAACAAAACAAAACCACAAAACTACCTCCTCTGCATTATCCGGTATCAGTTGTCACTTAATATTAAAGAAATATTAATACATATCTACATATCTTAAGTTTTTTTTCAATTTTCTTATATATCTCTGTCAAGAGATCCATTGGTCCCATAAGCCCTGGGGTGGCAGCCCCTTCCTTGTGAGACAGCAAATAGCTGATTTTATGGTTCTCCAAACAGAAATGGTTGTCCTTAGAGAATCTCAGCATGAAAACTGGGCAGAGAAGCTGGGTCTCAGCACGGAGCCAGAGAGTGTGTTTGCAAGTCTGCATCTGCTGGCAAGATTCATGTGAAAGGCAGACTGTGTGCCAGGGTTTATTTTTAATAATCAGAAGCCCATCTTACTTTTGAAATGTGCTGTAGCTTCCTGTGACGAAAGGGAAAAGACAGTTCATTCCATCTTTGTCTCACCCCATGGAATCTACATTTCTGGGAGCTCGGTGATGACGTGGCTTATTCACCTCTGGGACTCAATATTCAGAAGAAAAATAAAATGAGTGGGGGTGAGGGAAAAGGCAGAATTTCTAGAAACAGGAAAGGAAGATTATCTGTTTCTCTGTAGTGTTTTGCTACCTCTGTTAAAATTCATCAGGATTCTAAATTATGGGGTAGGTAATGTTCTGGCAGGGAGATGAGGATGTGCCCAGCATGAGGGTGAGAGACAGGGGGCTCTGAGCCCAGTGTTTTTCTGAGAGAGAGAGGAGGACCCTTGAGGGAAGGGCTCTACCCACTGTGACATAGAGAGTTAGAGCAGAATAAGGATCATGCCCTGGAGTAGGCTCCTCTGGGTGTCCTACAGCATCCCCTCCTGGCCCACACCATTCATGACTAATTTCAACCCCACACATTCCCAGAGTATGCCTTTGGAGGACCCCTGGGTGTGCCCATGCCCACCTCCTGTCACTCATCCATCTGGCCATCTCCAGGTGAGGGGGCATGAGGCAAGGCCTGAGATATGGAGGGTGCATCCAGAAGCAGGCCACTTGCTCTGGACAATAGAACACGAGTAGAAGTGACCCATGTCAGGAGGGGGGCCTCCAGGAAAACCTGACTCATTGCCATGAGGGTTTATGGAGCAAGCACTTCTTCCATACACTGTTCTGTGCTGGGAAGCCTCTGAAAGCGCAATCTGTCCTACCCTCCATGAGCTCACTGCCCAGTGGGACAGGCGGATATGGAAGCATTAATGACCCAGTGTAATTGGGAACAGACCAGTTCTGTCTTGGCAGGGGAAACCAAAGAAGGGAGTGATCAGCTCTGCTGGTGGCTAGGATTCCTTAGAACACCAGCCTGGAGTCAGATCTTGAAGGACATGTCGGGTTCTCCTGGTAGGTAAGGAGCATGAAGACTCCCAGGAGAGGAGCCTCCCTCTCTGCTTTTCTCTCTTGTGACATTTGTCTCACTTGCCTTTTGTGAAACCACCATCAGTCTGCCTGGTCTCCTGTAGCCCATTTACTGTTGGACCAAACACCACTGTGCCTCAGTTTCCTCATCTGTTAAGACAGTGTATTACCATGTCCCCTTACTAGAGTTGTCCTCAGAATTAAATTGTTTCATGGCATGGATAGCTGTGACGATGTGTGGAACGCACAAGACAATGCCCTTTGCAGTGAGCGTTCAGTAAATGTTAAAAAATCCAATACTTTTTCTATGCCTCAAAGCCATTCTCTTCATCAAAGTGTTCTTCAACCCAAAGTGGCCTCTGTTATCAAAAACAAAACTCTATTCTGGCTGTTGGAAACCTCTAGTAGCTTTATGTCCATACTAAAAATAAATCTGTCTTGTTCTTTCTTTTGTTGCTATAACCACAAAACTGGGCAATTGATAAAGAACAAAGGTTTATATATAAAGGTTTATACCACAGACTGGGTAATTGATAAAGAATAGAGATTTATTCAGCTCATGATTCTGGAGGTTGGGGTTCAAGGAAGAGGGACCACATCTGGTGAGGACCTTCCTGCAGGAGGAGAGGACTCTCTGTAGAATCCCAGGGCATCAAGCTTGCTAATTTGAGTCTTTCTTCCTCTACTTATAAAACCACCAATATAACTATGAAGGTCCCAGCCTCCTCACCTTCTCTAACTTTAATTACCTCCTGAAGGCTCCATCATCAAATATATTAACCTGACTTTGGGGATTAAGTTGCCACATGAGTTTTGGAGGGGCAGACATTCAGACCACAGCAGCATCTGTGAATCAGCTCATGATCTGATCTATATTGGCACCACCAGAAGATGGCTCTAAGACTAGGACCCTGCTGGGAAAGCACAATGTATGCTTGGAACCAGTCATAAAGAGACCCCCATAGGCCACCCGTCTTTCCAGCTAGTGGGTGCTTTGACATAGAAATCATCATCACCAGAATGGGGATGTAGGGTTGGGTAGAGAGATCCCAGAGGATCTCCAAACAGATCCTCCAGCAAGTACTCCAAACAAACACACTAAGAAAGGGAGGATGCTGTCCTGGAGGGTTGTAAAGGTGGCATTGTGCCACACAGATGCCAGACATCTCCTTTCCCTTCTCTTCCATTAGTTCTTTCAGGCATGGGATGTAGATTTCCAAGCATCACAGGAAGTCAGGCATGCTGCTGAGAATAGCCCTGAAATCATACCACAGTGACTGGGGTCCTGAGAAGAACGGAGGGGCCCACATGGAGCACACATTGGAGAATGGTGAACTAAGAACATGGGCATGCTGCTTGGGCCCATCTACAGACTGGAATTTTGGCAACAATGGTAATTTCAGCTTTTGTGTGTCATCTCTATGACTCAATGTTTTACTATGTTGCTTCCTGCTTATTAAAATCTATTCCTGATAAATTTGTGATGAGATGGTTGGCAGGCTCGCCTGTCTCGTATTTTATACGGTCCCAGGAGGAGTAGGTGGAGGTATATGGAAGGGAGGATGTGCCAAAAAGGGGGGAGGGCATTCGTCATTGAGACAGATCCCTAGGAGAGTTCATGGGGAAGAGACACACTGACAAAGAATTTACATACAGACATCTGTCCAGAGAGAATCTGAGGTTGCTTGCTTACTTAAAAAAAAAAAAAAAAAAAAGAGGTGTCGAATTCAGAATTGTGGGGGTGAATTGGAAGACTTCTAGGGATAAGTGGCTCTTGGTTGGATCTTGGAAGATGCCTGGACTTTGGATATATAAAAGGAGAAGAGATGGTCTTCCAAGATGGCTGTGATAGCTACTTTTAGGTCTCAACTTGACTGGGCTATAGGGTACCAAGATGTTTGGTCAAGTATTCTTGTGGGTGTGTTTGTGAAGGTGTTTTTAGATAAGGTTAACATTTGAATCAGTACCTTGAGTAAGGCATATTGCCCTCCCAGTGTGGGTGGCTCTTATTGAATCAGTTGAAAGCTAAATAGAACAACCTGCCCCCACCCCCATTCTCCTATGAATAAGTGGGGGCCCCTTCCTGCCTGACTGTTTTGAGCTTGGACATAGTTTTCTTTTTTCAGTTTTTGGATTCAAACTGGACTATCAGTTCTCCTTGGGTCTCCAGCCTGCCAGTTTACAGATTGGAATTTTCTCCAGCACCTCTTCTGTTTCTGAGAATTTCAAATTTGGACCAGAACTATCAGCTCTCCTGGGTCTTCAGCTTGCCAACTGCAGATCTTGGCATTTCTCAGCTTCCATAATGCTGTGAGTCAACTCCTTACCCCCTCCCCCCACCCCCGACACACACCGCTAAATCTATTGGTTTCTATTGGTTTGATTTCTCTGCACAGAACCCTGACAAATATGATAGAGAACATAGCTTTCAAAGCAGAGTTGCAATAAGCACTGAGCTAGCACTTTCTGCACATTTAATCCCTTGGCTTAGTCTGTGGGATTCATTTCTGAGTCTAGCCTGTGGATCGATACTGTACCAATATTTATTGAGCACCTACTATAAGCCCAGAGTGATGACATATTTTATATACTCATTTATTTAATGCATTTATCCAATCAACAGATATTTACTGAGTATCTAATGAATACTTGCAATGCATCAGTGAACAAAATAATAATCTATGTGCTCTCAAAGTTTATATTGAGTTGGGGAAATACAGAACCATAACAATAGATATGACAAATATGTTAATTATACAGTATGTTAAAAGGTGATTAATACTATAAAATGTTGAGTAAAGGGCATTAAATATACTGGGTTTAATGCCTTCTAATGGTTGGCGTTGGGTTGCAATCTTAAATCCGTTAGTCAGGGAGGCCTCACTATGAAGAAAATCTGAGCAAAGAAATGAAAAGCAGGTGAAGGAGCAAGCAGACCCGGCAGTGGGGACAGCGAGTGCAAAGGCCCTGAGGTGAGAAATTTTCTGGAGCATTTGAGGAGGTGGGAAGGTGAGAGTGGCTAGATGGGGGTGAATAAAAGGAGAGGAGAAGGAAGCAAAGTCAAGGATTAAAAAAAGAGAGAGACGGAAAAAGATCAGACCATTGTAAAGAATGTGGCCTTAATTCCTAGACAGGAGTCTTTTCAGGGGGGTGATTGAATCTGTTTTACAATTTAGTTGAGTCACTGTGGCTGCTGTGTTTCAGTGGGTCAGGCCAGAGATAGTGGTGGTTTGGACCTGGATAGCGCCAAATGGAGCAACATACTCAGAATGACTGGAGTAGAGTGGGCAAGGGACCCTGGCATAGGACGAGAATGTTGTGTGGACAAGCATTTGGGGACTGTAGTTGGTCAGGCACTGGTCCTTCGGTTGCTGGGTTGTGGGGACTTCTGATAGGGTCCTGGAGAAGGCTTATGATGCGAGTGTTCAGGATCAGAAAGTATTTCAATATTTTAACAGCTCTTACATCCTATGATGTGCCCTCTAGGGATCAGGATGGAGCAACCAACCGTGAGGACTCGAGTGCCCACGGAGAGTTTTGCTTGTACCCTGGCAAAACTGCAGCAGCCACTGCAGGGCTGAGGAGGGTGGGTGTCAGGACCCAGCTGGCTTTTACAGAACGGAGTCCAAACTGAGAAGGGCGAGGCTCTAAATTCAGCCGCAGAATTCAAGCAGGCACCAAGTATCAGGACGTAAGATCAGTAATATTTTCGTGTGCTATTTAAAAAATTTAAAAATAATTTAGAAATTCATCGTGAACAATAATACTGACATTTTTGACACGGGCAGCATCTAGAACTGCTTTTGCTTGTCCCAACCTTGCTCTTCTTGACAATTCTTACCCTGTTCCATGTTATCTTTAATAATAAATTAAAATTGATACAAATTGGTTCATCAGGGGCATTTGGGGCATCAATTTTGAGTTTTAAAAATACTGTGTGGAAATATTTTATTTTTCTCAGTTGCTGAGTATTTCTGGCATTCCCATACTGTTGGAGCCTTGCCCTGGTTTGGAAACAATGACCTGGGATTGTGGGGAGCATGGAGGCCCCGAGAGCATAGAGTGGGGGAGGGGTGCACATGAGAGATGCAGCCAGATTGTGTGGTGCGGGCGGAGGGGTGTGTGCGGCAGGCCTGCTGCTCGCTCCTCCTCCTGAGGATTCTGGGGAGGGGGCAAAGGGGTGTGCTGTCAGCAGCCCATCTGCACAGTGCACCTGCCAACCAGGCTTGGGAGCCAAGCGCCTACTTTCTTTGGTGAGGCTGCTTGGGAACCGTTTTCCCAGGAAGATGGGAAGCATCTCCTGGTCTAACTTGGTGGTGCCTTGGGGCCAACCCAAGACATTTCCTAGGAGGATGGACCCCTATCTTTTCCCATCTGGTGCACACCCTGATCCACTTACCTCCTCAACTGTCACCCAGGTGAGCCCTGGTCCCAGTGTGTGAGATCTTCACAGACCCCACCAGCCATGGGCTCCTGGCCACCTGCTCTGTCACTGAGTGGCTTCAACCTGCCTCGTAGCATCAATATTGTAAGTCAATTCAGATTTCCAGGACATCATGGCCAGGAGAGGGGATGATGGAACACCTAGAATCTTCCCGTGTTGGAGGTTACACTAGGAGGGACTCAATAGCTACCCCTAACTGGCTTCTGTCTTTTCAAGCCTGGAGGACAGTTCACCAGCCTGGATCATTCCACTGAGTCTTCATTTTTCTAGAAGCCTTTGTTATCACCAGGCAGAACCTGGGAATGAAGCCAACATGAAACCCAAAGCTGAGTAGTTATGAGAGAGCAAATCTAGATTCTTCATTGGATCCCCTGGATGCAGCCATATCTGAGCCAGGGCTCCTCAAACATGAGTCATTAAACTACTGTTTTGTCTTAAACCAAAATTTCAGCTGGACTTTTGGTCACTTGAAATGGCAAGAATGGGCCCTACTTACTTGCTTAATACAAGAACTTAGCCACCTATGAGGATCCCACCTGGAAGACAAGGGTGGCGGTACTCCCCGGGGCAGTGCGGAACATAGCCTACCTACTCCAGGTGTGATCTTTGATCAGCAGCATTATTATCACTTAGGAACTTGCTAGAAAGGCAGAATCTCAGCTCTTTCCCCAGATTTACAGAATCAATATCCTGAATATATTTTTACAGGTGCCCCAGGTGATAAATAGGTGAGAAGTGCTAAGGTTCAGATAGGCTTTGAGTGTGTCCCCTGAATGTTCATAGACCGGAAGCCTGGACCCCACTGTGGCAATGTTAAGTTGGTGGAAGCCTCAAGAAGTGGGGCCTGTTGGAAGGTGATGAGGTCACTGGGGTGCTGTCTTTGGAGGGGATTAATGTAGCTCTCAGAGGATCCAGTCAAGTTCCTGTAGGAACAGGCTGTTATAAAAAGAACAAGCCTGGTCCCTGAATCTCTCTGGCTTCCTGTCTCCCCTGTGATTGCTCTTGCATGAGTTCTAGCCTTGAGATGCCAAGTACCATGAGCCCTCAGCAGAGGCCAAACAATGAGGCTGCCCTATCTTGGACTTTTAACCTCCAAGTCTTTGAGATAAATCAACTTAAAAAAAAATTATAAAGTACCCAGCCTCAGGGGGTTTTGTTATAGCAATAGAAAATGGACGAATACAAGAAGCATTTGTGTTGAGGGCGAATCTTTTTTGTTTCCCAGGTCTTCTTTTGTGATTGGGTAGAGTTTAGAAGTTAACTGGAGTTTGGGATCAAGGTTCAAGTCATAGCTTTGAAAACTTATTTGTTCAAGAACAAGAAGCATTACTTAAATATATCTGAGCTTCTATTTTTTCTTCTGGAGAATCAGGGGTAATGCCAGTAACTAACTGCCATGACTTTTAAAAGGATTTTGTGTATTTTACTCATGGAAAGTGCTTGGCACACTGTCAGGATAGAGGAAGAGCTCAAAATGTGCCAGCTAGGATTATTTCCACAACTCTGCAGTGGGGTTGCTTCATGCTCAGCCCACCTAATAACTTTTGATAGATCAAATGAGACAACAGATGGGAAAACATTTTTGGAATGTGCAAATTGATGAAAAAGGAGAGATTTTTCTAAATCTTAAAAGAAAATCATTCACAAAGGTTTTTTTTTTTCCATCTATATGTGGTTAGTAGCTGGTTGGCTTCAATATGTGCCTTTGAACAAGGGTAGGAACCAGGTAAAGAGGTGAGGACAGGTCACCAGGAGGGTGCAGGGCTCTGAGCTGAGGGTCAGAAGGGCCAAAGGGCTTCTATCTTCCAGGGAGACATTGGATCCGAGCATTTGGGAAGTGAACCTTGACTGAAAGGCTCCAGCGAGCCCTGGGTGTTATGGATGAGGACCTTGGGCTTCAACCAGGAGGTAATGGAGACGAAACTAATTGCAGGGGACACCCAAATGACAGTGGCTTCTCTGTAGCCCTTTGACCTGCTGGATTGCCAGTCTGTTTCTCTCTTAAGAGAAAGTGGCTTCAGGTCTTGTCCAAACCTCGGAAGAGCTCCAGCTGGGCCTTGGGGACGATTCAGCAGCCCCCTAGAAGTCATGGAAAGCCATGTGGGAGAAGAGGCCTGCCATCCTGGGAACCACTCAGTCACCCTGGAGGCATCACCCAAGGGAAGCTTTGGTGCACAGCTGGACCTTCTGTGATAGGTTCTGTATGTGGTTGAGAGTTGGGTCTCAGCCCAGCTGATGAGAGTCGGGTGGAAAGGGTCCTGCAGGGTGCTGCCAAGGCTCCGGGAGTAGTAACAGTAACTAACTGTTTGGGTGAATGGTGGTCAGCCATGTGTTATTGGAGAAGAGATGTGGAACCCTCTGCTCAGTCCTCGATTCACACTAGGGATCCACCTCAATGGAGATACTGAGCCTGGCTTTTGAGACCCCTCAATGGAGATACTGAGCCTGGCTTTTGAGACTCGGTAGGGGTAGGGAAGTGAACCGGGAGAAAAGCTTATTGGATTTCGATAATGGTCCAATCAGTCTCAGATACTTGTGGTCTCCAAATGAAGAGGCGGAGACCGAGAGGTTGAGAAACTGCCAACTCCAGCTTCGGGCATGAGGAGGCATTACAGTGTGTGGGAAAGAACAGACCAGAAGTCAGGCAGAACCAGGGTCAGGTCCCGCTCCTCCTGTTTAATCTTACCATCTCTTCACTTTGTGCCTCATTTCTCCATTAAAAGTAAGGAACACCCCCTTTCTTACAGGAGTCATGTTACCATTAACCCTGAGAGCACAGCTGAAGTTCAGGGTCAGTGTGTGGGACAGAAAAAGAGGTCTGTAAGGATTGCTGAATTCAGAAACTGATGGAATGTGGCGGGGGATT